CACACACACATTCACGCACACATACAGGCTGCGATTCGTAAATTGTCGCCATTTTATACTTTTTATTTCACACTTGCGCTTTGTTTGTTTTTGATTTTTTCGACTGCACAGTATATTAGGGTCAATTGTGTACTGTCTAGGAGAAAAAGATCACCGTGTAACAATTGCCTCCGCCAGAATTTTGGAAACGGTTCGCTGTACTGCTTGGTATTTGCGGCTGCAATACGAACATTTCAGAGTATTTTCTGTGTCAATCTGGGGACACTCCAGAGAATTCGGAAAGAGTTGGCGGATTGATTACGGAGTTGCGTAAGTAGTAATAACGACAGTATACCTCCATTTATATTCCCACGGGGCCACAGACTCAACACAGAGGTCTACATGAAGTACCTTAAGGAGGGTGGTTGCTGGAAGACTCTACGTCTGTCAACAGGACACTGCACCATACCACATAATCAGGAGAACCCAGTAATGACAGTCACTGTCAATTTCTGCGACCATATCACCTCTTACATCTGGTCACCTAACTCACCAGATTTCAAAACCCTGATTATTATGTGTAGGACAATGCTGAGCGGGAGATCAACAATACTCCTTGTTACGCCAAAGTTGAACTGAAGGCAAGAATAATTGCAGCATTCACCAACTTAAACAAGGAAGACTGTTCAGAAGAGTCGCAGGAGATTCTGAAGTCGTCTGGAAGGAATGGTTGCGCCATATAGATCATTTTACGATATAGTATTTAATCATCATTAAATGGCGACTATCGGTTTCACGGCTTAAGACATGTAATTCGAAAAGAGAGTCTATCTACCAAAACTTCAAGGAATTTGAACGAACCGTAATTATATCTATTTTGTGATTCTAGGCCTACGTCGAACAGAATATATGAAGAAAATTAAATAGAACGCATAATTTGTAAGAAATATAAGTCAGTTAAATGTTACTTACACTATATGGTAAATATTGGTCGGAAAATTAGCGTATAATCACTTTCATAAATCAGCATCTTAAGGCAAAGATTTCAATCCGAATGAGTGGATAAATATTTTTTTATGCGCTGTCACATACGCATATTACAACATCATATCTGCCTTAGAGTATCGTATGAACAAATAAAGCTAAGTAATTACTTAATTTATAGAAATTAAGCTAACAATAGAAAAAAGCTTACATGCCTCATAAATAACAGATTGCGCGTAAATAATATTCAAAACAAGTTAACTAGTTAGAGTTCAGCTTTTAAACATTACTAAAGAAGCGTACTGAGTTTATTTAGAATGTCGGACCTGAAAGTGCATGCTAGAGAAGCGTTACAAATTTTGACTAAATAATCAAACATACAACGGAATGTCTTTCTTTTAATTCCATCTTACTGAGGACAAGGACATTTTCAGCATGACTTCGTACAATTTGGCAAACCATTAATTAGACGATATACTAAAGGTATAAATGTCTTTGGATTTCATCCTTACCAGAGACTTTCTTTTTCGATGTTTTTGATTGCATCTGACATTTTACATTAAACGCTTTGACGAAGAATTCTGTAATTTTCTGCCTGCTTGTTACACAATCTGCATGAAGGAGAGGGAGAGGCATAAGTATTTTGTCATTTATGGGTAAATTTGCATTCATTAAAAGAAGCGCTAAAGTAAACTTGTCTACTTAAAAATCAATGCAAATTACTGGCATTTTTTCTTGTAATTTCTTACCTTTTTAGAGATTTTCGGTTATGTTGTTTGAGTTGAAATTTACTAACATTCGTCGTTATGTGTTTTAATATTTTTTTTGCTTTCGTTTTCTTTCTTTTCTTTGTTTTCTAGTGTCATTCTCAATTTATTGCTGGTTTCATTCTATTTTAGACGTTTCATTTTCTCTCTTCTTTGAGCCTTTTCTTCATTTTCTAATTCTTTTCTTCTTTCTATATTTCGTCTTTTCTTTTTTCTGTTTTTCTTTCGTTCTTTCTATACTGCTTTCTCTTATTTTATTCCTTATTTTTTACTTTATTCTTTTCTTTTTTTCTTTTTTCTCAATTTCTTTCTTCCCCCGTTTCTCGTTTGTCCTTAATTTAACTTGCTTCCTTACAGTCTTTCTGTTTTGTTTATATTTTACATTTCTAATTACTTCATCTCTGCGTTTCAGTGTTCTTTCTTTCTTTTCATTTCTTTCTTCATTTCTTTCTTTCTTTCTTTCTTTTCCTTTCTTTCTTCATTTCTTTCTTTCTTTCTTTATTTATTTCGTTCGTTCTTTCTTTCTTTTTTTGTTTATTTCTTTTGTTCTTTCCTTTTTTCATTTCTTTCTTTCTTTCCTTTTTTCATTTCTTTCTTTCGTTCTTTCTTTTTTCATTTCTTTCTTTCATTCATTATTTCGTTTTTCATTTCTTTTCTTTTTTTGTGAGAGAGAGCCCAACGGCTGTAATCAGATTAGACTTTCTCTTGCTTACAGTATTGACATTGTTTCCTCTTTTGCTTTCTTCGCTTCATTTTTGTCACAGAAATAACGGCAAGTGGGATTCAAAGAGTCGTTGTATGGAAGCAAAATCTGATTCTCTTCTGGCAATGAAATGGTAAATTTTCTGAGTCATATAATAAAAAAGATAAGAAATACGTTAAACGCATTTTCGTATAGCAGCGAATCCAACTTTTCATACATGGATTCTTTGATGATAGGTCGACACAAGAATCCTATGATGCCGGATCGTTTGAACAGAGATAATTCCCGTAAGAGCAAAAAGTGATATCCAAAATTTCTGGGAACGTAATGCACGAAATATGTTAGGCAAAAATGAGATTATTTGCATTCGGCCTAATGTCTTCACGTGTTTTTTATTATGACAATGTTTTCAGCATTTTTTTTAAGCGTTTCACGCTAAGCAAGGCGGGAGTGCCACTAGCACGCAAGGGGTTACAGAGATTGAGAACAAGAGCAAAGAAGTATGTTTCAGGAAAGGATATAGAGAAGGACGTGTATCAGGATCAAGGCATCAGAACATGTCGATTGACATTACATTTGAATATTTGAAAATTATAGCGATCAGGGAAGCAAGTAAGAGGAAGGAAAGTCAACTGTCGGGAAGTGCGAGAGAAGAACTGTTTCGACAGTGAAAGGGTGGGATCGAGATGCCAAGCTAGTAGCACGCTTAAATTCATGCAGATGGGGTACCAGTGAAAATAGCTCGTCATATTTGTAGAAAAGACAGAGGCAACACACAGCACATCTGTGAAAAAGAGACGGTAGACGAGATGACAAATCAGGAGCTATAACATTGCATATCCGTCTTTGGAGATTTTCGAGGACCTCGGGATAGACAGTGGGATTACCAGATCATATATATTTCGAGCAGCACAATCTGCAAGGAATTTCGAACTGAGCATTCTATTTAATCCATGGAATTATGCTGAACAATTCTCTGTTCATGCATATTGATATATTCGGTGGTTCTTTTTCCTATATTTCTCAATTATTTCTTTTCCCTGTTTTAAATGAGTCTAAATTTGTAATACCATGTGCGACCCAGGCACTCAAATAATATGTCCTATGTTGTCAATTTCCCGAATCAAATTTTTAATCTACTAGACTATTCTTCCGTGAATTCAATCACTGGACAAAGAAATACAGACTTTAAAAAAATCAGTGAACAATAGGTGGGAAGATCTTAAAAGAATGAGATGAAATATGTAAACACTTTCTGAAGAGAACGAGAATATTTTATTCCAGTTGATAAAATAAACTTGTTCACTTATAAATTCATTGAACGTTTTCCTGGCGGAAAGAGCCTTGAAAAACACCAGAGCGTACAACAGCCTAAGTGTCAGGATTATAACAAAAAAGATGGGAATATCAGTTCGAATGTAAATAATGTAAATAATAGCACCACATCCCAGATATTCAAACATAAAATAATTAGAAACCTTATTTTTTGATTGCGTTATTTCGAGAGAGATATGAAATATCAGATTAGTCACGGTTAATCTTGAATAAATTAAGAGATTAATCAGTTTGCACAAACTACTTGAAGTTTTGGCAGATGTAATCTATGTGTTTCCCTTTTGGATTACATGGACTGAAGACGGCTTGAGGCATGAAACCAAGAGTCAGGCTGTATTGTTGAGTCCATACTTTATCAAAAATTGATCTCTCTCTGAATACATTCCGCCAAATATATAGGGCAACATTCAAATATACTGGATAGCAATTAATTTATACAGATTCTTACAATAACAATTAAGAAAGAAGAATTAATCAACAGTCCAGATATTTATTATTAAAATGTTTCTTGTTGATTCTGGTTAATAATAATAATATGACAAACAATAGTAAGATAATTACCGTCATTTTTCAAAATGTAAGCCACATGCTTCAATGACTTGCTTTTTTTATTATAAGTAATTGTATAGTGACTTTATACCACCCTGTATATATAGAGGGTTAGTTAAATGTAACATCTTATTTTATGTATGATTGGCCAGACATTAGTTGTGACTGAAGACCCTGTGTCTTTTTTTTTCCTTTAGTGTTGATTAAAGGAGCAAATCTACAATACCGAACCAAGGCTTTGGAAGAACTTGAAGGGCGAATATAAGAAGTTATATCTTCCATACCACAAAAATTCCTGGTAACATTAATTGACGCGATTCCTGGGCGGATCGAAAAGCTGGTAGCCAAATCTAATGCCCATGTCTAATTTTAATTAATCCTGAGGCATGGTCAAAGCGTCGGATAAGACTAGTTTTTTTTTTCTCTTCTGTATTTATTCACACACACACACACACACACACACACACACACACACACACACACACACATATATATATATATATATATATATATATATATATATATATATATATATATATACTTACGTGCTTGGGGGAAGGTATGAATCATCATTTTTTCTCTCCCCAGATATAGGTAAATAGTAGGGCAGGTTCTATGGCCTGGGATGGCAACTGGTCTAGGAGGAGCAAAACTCTGATTTCAAATCCTGCTGAGGGTCTATTGGGGACATTGTAGCACACGGTGTCACCAGGTCTCTGTATTCGGCTCTTCAAAAAGTGTGGTCGTTTCTGCACAAATTCTTTTCCACTCAAATCATATGTGCAGGTTGTCTTAGAAACTGAGATGCCTCACACTCACACGTCGTAGAACGTAGGCATGGGTCAACATCTCGCGTCGATCAATCACGGGAGGTTCCACGATATATATATATATATATATATATATATATATATATATATATATATATATATATAGAGAGAGAGAGAGAGAGAGAGAGAGAAAAAAAATCTATTTGTAAAGCGTTAATTGCTATATTATGGGATAAAGTGCTCAAAATCAGGGATAGCTCGTATGTAAATATGAAAGTTAACATTAGGATCAACACCCAGTGGCGACAATCTGTTAATGGTTAAACGCTATCTTCATGCCTTTTCTTATCAATTCAAACGTTATTTATACTGAATGGGATATACTATATGGGATAGATGCTACGTATAAGTTTTAAATGTCTTCTTTCTTTTCCATTTATATTTAAATACGATTTTGTATACAGGAAAAGTTATTAAAGCGAAATGCAACCTTTAACATTTTTCCTTTAATAAGACTTCTCGATTACTCAAACCGGTAGATGAAAATAGAGTAGGGTGTAAAAATAAATGTATTGTATACTCAAATAACCGTAGCCAAGAAAATTGACGTTTAAAGCGATATATACATATACAGCGGTCACCCAACTAAGTACTGACCATGATCGACGTTGCTTAACTTCCGTAATTCTACGAGAACCGGTTTATAAAGGTGACATGATGCTAAGCCCTATAATTTAAAGTTTGGCTTCTTTCATTTGAAGGTAAAAAAAACGTTGTTTGTTGACCAAATCCATTACAAAATATTTTACTTAAAAAAGAATTTACTGTAAAGTTGCACGCGTTTTTTTCTATTGTTTACCAATTACAATGTCGAAGAGCCACATAAGTTCAACGGTGTGTAAACAAGTCTGATATAAGGCGTACAAGAAGAGATCATCAGGGCATAGTATTTGCCTATGTATGATAGTTAACAGTTCATCTTAGACATGAAGATGTTAATATTGTAAAAACAAGGGAAGCATAATCCCGGGAGTTCTTTCCATAATAAAACAATTGTAGAGGAAAAGCTTTATGAATAGTACTTACCAATGTAATATGCAGAGGAATGAGGACGGTCACAGTGTATGTAGCCTGGCGGTGATGATTTGGACTGTTGAACCAAAGAATGTATTTTGTCCGAACATTTCCCATCAAAATTGCGAGTGTGGGTTGCTAACTACAATCGAGTCTCGGCGATTTACTGATAATGTCACTACTATAGCGTGCCTTTTCATTGTCAAACTGGACCCTACCATGTGTATAGTCTTATAAGATCTTAACTGGAAATAGAGATATTAAAGTTTGGCGTATGCTAATCGCCAAATTCTGACATCCATCTAAATGCTTTTTTATTGTCCTATATACTCAGTAACATCTTTTCATATTTTTTCACAGTCACTAATTCCTTGCGTGTTATTGGTATGATCCCCTTGCTTGGAGTGAAATGATTAAACAATGTATAACAATGTATGATAGTTAACATTTGATCTTAGACATTAAGATGTTAATATTGTAAAAATAAGTTTGGTTTGGTTTGCTTTGGTTTCTTTTACGGAATAACAAATTCAATGGGTTATTTAATGCGGACAAAATTATTATTTCTGGTAATATTCTTCAAAAATGTATAGCTTGTAATATTTTGTTTCAAAAATGTATAGCTGGTAATATCTTTTTCTTTTCAAAAATGTACTGTTAGTAATAAATATTTACTAAGTATTTCTGGTATTAAAACCTATATTTACACTTACATAGTGTTTTGACCTCAGTTTTGAGGGGGGTAACTATTTACCCATATTTGGGACATTTACAGATGCAACCTGTCATGGTGGATCTGGGAACAGCAGCAATTAAGAGGTGGTTCCACGCTTTGCAAACCGTGTTAATCAGAGGCCATACTGTTGGACGTAGTTTATAGTCTTACCCAGGACGGTGTAAAAATATAAGAAGCATAATTCCGGGAGTTCATTCCATAATAAAACAATTCTAGGGAAGAAGCTTTATGAATGGTACTTCCTCCTTACGAATGTAATATGCAGAGGAATGAGGATTAGTTGTCTTAGTGTATATAGTCCAGCGGTGACTTTTTGCAATGTTGAACCAAAGTATTAGTTAGTCCGAACATTTGTCACCAAAATAGCGAGAGTGGGTAGCTGATTAAAATCGAATCTCTGTTACTGTCACTAGTATAGCGTACTTTTTCATTTTCCGTGTCAAGCTGGACACTATCATGTGTATGCTCTTATTAGATCTTAACGGGAAATAGAGATATTAAATATGTGTCTATATTTCTGAGATGAGGTATTATGTACAGTATTTACATTATTCGGACTATTGTCCTCGTCTCATTGTCGCCATATTTATTACAACGTTTCGG